AACTCTCCAATGTAAACCATGATTCCCTTGAGATAGCCCATAGTCCAATCGACAAGCAGGAGAAAGGGAAAGCGTGAGGGTAAGCAACCTTGTCTCACACCGATATTCACTTGAAAAGAATCTGGAAGCTGTCCCCCATGGACGGTTCGGCAGTTCAGACCATCATGAGAATTTCGTATGATGTTGGTTATCTTCTCGGGCACTCTGTAGTGTCTTTCTGTCCACTCTCTCAAATGCTTTCTATTAGTCAGTGAAGTTGATGAAAAGTGGTGAATTCCATTCAACTTACTGTTCCACACTGATCCGTAGTGTCGCGGCACATGATCGATCATTATGGAATCCAGCCAGATGATCTCGAAACTCGCTGTCTACAAAGTCCTTCATTCTCTTTAACAACACGCTGTTGAACACTTTTCATGGTATTGAGAGTAGATTGATGCCTCTGGATTTCCCACACTTGCTGAAATCAAATGTCTTCGCTATTTCAGTTATCCAGCTTTTTATTCTGTTAGCATTTGTTCTTCATCCCAAATCTTGTTGAAGAGAATGTCAAATATTTCTGCAATTGCTGCTGCGTCTGCTTTCATTGCCTCTGCTATGATGTTGTCTGGTCCCGCTCTTTTGTCGCTCCTGATTTGTCTGATAGCCATCCTGGTCCCTTCAGTTGTTGGTAGACCAATATTGATCAGGAGGTCCGTGAATGCTGATTCGATGTCGGGTTGGTTCAGTGGAATCGGTTCATTCAGTAGTTCCTTAAAGTGCTCCAACTTGCTGTTTTATTGTGCTTCAATGGTGTAATTAGTTCGCCTTCCATGCTTTTCACTGATCGTTCTGTTTTACGATAATTTTCAGCAAGCCTCTTTATTACGTTGGTCTTATGTTTCTTTCACTTACATCTTTTCTCGCCTTCATCGTTACATCTTCCACATATTTACGTTGTCTGGCTCTCATGCTTATCCTTGTTCCCTTGCTTGCTCTGTGTATTCAGCTTGTGCCTTGGCTTTCTCTTCTCTTGTTCTGCCGGTGTTGATCACTGCCTTCTTGTTCCTCTTTTCTTGGAAATTATCCATAGTACCAACAGAGATCCATTCCATGTGATGGTGCTTCTTGTGACCCAGGACCTCTTGACATGTTGAAGTGATTGCCTCATTGGTGCCTGTCCAATTGTTTTCAATGGTGTTTCCCTCACTATTGAGTAGATCGTCAAATGCCTGCAACCAGTTACTGTAGGCTATCTTGAATTCGGTATGTTAGTATTCCGAGGATAGGCCGTGATGAACTCTCTTGATTCTATTCTCTCCGTTGCTAAATGCTTCCTCACTTTTATCCTCATGCTGGTCACTGTCAAGTTACGATGTAAAGCTATGTCAGCTTCTCTCTTTGTTTTTGCGTCCTCCACTGTCTTTCTGAGTTTTTTAATAGTGCAAATGTGATCGATTTGGTTAAATGTAGTGCGATTCGGTGAAATCCATGTCACTTTGTGCACAAGTTTGTGTGCGAATATGATGCCGCCTACGTCTAGTTTGTTGAAGGCAAACAGGTTCGGAAATCTCTTGTGGTTTCTTCTCACCCAGTTCATGTTGCCCATTTCAACCTCGGCGTTCAGGTATGCGATTAGAACTGTCGAATCCTTGAATGGACGTTTTTCAACGATTAACTGCAGCCCACTCATAGAATTGCTTTGATTCGTTATCATCGTCATCGTTAGTGAGCGCAAAGCTTTGAGTGATATTTATTGTAATCAGCTCTTTCTTTGTTTTGAAGAATGCCTTGATGTAGAATCCTTTTTGAATGTTTTGTTTTTTGGAAAATCCCTCCATGTTTACATATTTTTGTTATGACATGACGGACTTTTTCTGTTGACAGTTTTGGTATTTTATTTGATCCCAATTTGAGATTTTATCATTGTATATTGTTATTCTTTCTATATTTTGTACTCATATTGAAGTTTTTATGTTTGCTTCTGAACTGTACATATGTTGTTTAAATTTGAGATAATATGGCTACCGCCACATTTTTGGATTCGATATCGTGCAGTATAGGAGTTCACCTAGACCTCGGAACCTTGATACTCATTCAGAGTAATTTTGAATTGGAAGGCGTAAATTTCGTTAGGTATTGTTTGTATTTCCATTTATTATCTATTAATAGACCATTTTCCCCTAGAATTATTGTGTTTTATAGTATAAATCGGGAATTGCGTCCGACATACGTCTATTGGAATCGAATTGAACCGTCGAGTTAGAAAATCCAATTACACTTGATGATCCTGGGTCTATGAGGTTCACATCCTATCAATGGTTTTTGTGCTTCTTTGGATAGCATTATTGCGAGCCCTTGTGTGTGGAGCATTTTCTCTACTATCGCCGAGGTGTACCAGCAACTCTCCTAAAGCTAGTCTGTTTGTCCAGTCTGTGCGCATCGAGTCGCACTTATTCTTAGCAACACAAGGTTGTATATTTCCATTTCCGCAGCAACTTGAATGGTTCTTCCAGGCTCCCAGACAATGCGAACATTCTCTGTGCCCGTGTCTCTTGACTTCCTAAAAAACTTAGCCTTCATCATGAGACGTCACATCATTTCCGAATGAAGACCTTCGAATTCCCACGGAAGAGTTAAAATGATTTTCATCATTTATTCTGGTTAGTGTTTTTAAGCGAGTTAGTTTTACGGGGAAAGGTCGCTAATTCAACACCCAACTGTTCTATTTTATCCGTGCTTGGGACCGGCAATAACCATAGAGCTGCTCCAGGCAAGGTTATAAAACCTTAACATCAGAATTCTTATCGTCCAAAAAGATTCTGTCAATTTTGAAGGTGTGGCTACGCAAGTTTACCTTCAATACATGCAATATGAGGTGAATAGGATTAGTTATAGAAGGAGATAATGCCAATTATAGGTTACACTGTTGACACCTGTTTTCTATTTCGTGGAAGCAGCAGTCAATTTTTCGGGGAATTACTGCAGGGCTTACTTAAATTAGTGTCAACTATGTAATAAACATTTTATAGGAGTACTTCACAAACCCTGATTCATGTTTCCCTTTGAAATTCAAGTGATGGGAGATGTTCCATGAGCAGTTAAGGAAAGGTTGACTAAAACATTCTTGCTGTGGCAAATTTCTATACAGTGACTTGTTTTTGTCAAATAGAGGTCGTTTAGATGCACGCCTGCACTCTTAATCGAATCTAGTTTGATGAAACTAACTAGATACCGGTGGCCAAAGTTTGTTTTAATTACAGTTTAAATGAAAGCGTTTTTAATTGATGCATATATTAGGTAAGCCTCTGATAGACTAAACTCTTTTCGTCTTAATTCGGGACGTGCATAGGGAAGAATTAGCTCCAATACCGGCTCAAACCACATTGTGGGTGCTGCAAAAAATATGTAATCCTACAGTCAACATTAGGAAAACTCCCTGCTACCCTACTTGGAATACAATTTAAAGTTTTTACACGCTCTCACATTGCGAATCAAAACAGTGTCGCTCCACCGCTCCTTGAAGTACACGTGAATATCATAGATCAAATACAGTGAAGTCTAGAAGGTGAACGAAAAGACTGAGGAAAAAGTCTTGCGGATAAAGACACCAGCCTTTGGGATTATTCCCAGTGGGACGCCAAAAGTACGAGGTTATTTGATAAGAGAATATAACAAAATGAGTGAGGTACACATGAGGAAGCCCTAATAAATTTGCACATCAAAAGGGCAAAAACATAGACAAAGTTCCCCATTACTTTATTGTCCTCATTTGGAATGCTCCCTCAGCAGAAATAACTGCAGCCTCTTCAGTGTATAACTTCACGAGGTAACCACGTACTCAACCATGGATTACCATCTTCATGAACTAGATATGGTATTATGGATATAAATCTGCTGAAAGCGCCGTTGTCCTTAGTTCATTTTAATCAAGTATCTAAAAACCAGTCAAAGGAGGGGTGAGGAGTGAAGAGGATAAAAGTTGAAAAGTGCAAAATCTAAGCTAACTGGCCGCTTTAAGAGTGCAACTCTTTACTTTATCCGAAGACAACATGGTTATATCACCAAAGAATTATTCTTAACGTTGTTTAACACATATGCGCGACCACACCTTGAGGATCACAACTTCGTCGCACACTCTCTCTCCTTAAAGGAGACGTAAATCTCTCGAGGCTAGCAAAAAAAGGAGTCATAGTGTTGAGGAAAAAATATTATGAAGAAAACTCCATCAGAGGGTTGTTCTACCCGACTTGCAGGAGAATCAGAGGTGATTTGATAATATTCAGCACTTTTAGTCGTTCCAACGTGAGCATCTTGTCGAAGCATCAACACCAGACCTAAAGAGGTAATCCTTGAGAAATTGCACATCAGAGAGTTAACTCTCAAATTCGCACACACTTTTTCTTGTTTAACGTTGTCGCAACTTAGAATGTTCTCCTAGACGGGGTGGCCACAGGCCTTTTAGTGGATGTCTTCAAGAAGAGACTTGATAAACATGTTCTCGCACACGGAATATCATCTTTCGCTTGAACCAGCTGTGCCTGACGCTTGTCTCGAAACTAGCTAGTTATTATTATTACCATTTCCACAGATCACCAACTTCATCCATCTGGCCTATTATTTTTGTTGCCTCTCTCTTCAGTCCTCTTTCACAATCTTCACCACAAATTAATGAATCTATTGATCCATTTATTTAGTTAGTCCTGAAATCTTCTTATTGGTGCATTGCAGGTAAATAGCCACCGACTTGGTAACTTGATACTTGCTGGTGTCTAGAAGCCCTACTGCCCTGAAACAAACGTACTTAATCAAATCACGGGACATACAAATTCACAAACAGTTGCCAACTGACTAGATTCAGTGAAGTCAAGTAGCTAGACTACCATTGATTGGATAATGTCAAATATCTGAAACCGTGCTGAAATAAGAAGAATAGAGTGCAAATAAATAAATTGGTTTATACTAGCACGTGGAAAATATATTGGGTATTGGACAGCTTTTCAAAACTCATTGGACGTTGTTTAGGAAGCGCCATTTCAATCTATGCATTTTATCTCTTTCAAGGGGATTGTTAGTGCTTTTTCTGTTGTGAACCTGTCGAGAGTAACACCACTAAGGAACATGGCAACAAAAGTTGGTGTGGTTCAAATGCTATCAACGGCGGATAAAAAACGTAACTTTGAGCAGGCGGTTAAGTACATTGTCGAGGCCAAATCATCGGAAGCCAAGGTGAGTTTAAATAATGAACATCTTATTATTAATAGCACTTTAGATCGTTTTTCTCCCTGAATGTTTCGATTTTGTCGGTCGATCACGTCAAGAGGTTATGGATCTTTCAGAAATGCTAGATGGACCTTTGATCACTGAATATCGTGCCTTAGCTGCCCGGGAAAGCCTTTGGATTAGTCTTGGTGGTGCACATATTAAGGTAAGTAGTTTAAAAATTTTCTCGCAACTATATTTCACGATTAGTCTGTATATTTGTACTTTCTTAGTTAACATTGCACTTTTTTATTACTCAGATTCGTCGGGTCACCTTGAGAAATTAAATTTTATAGAATTGTTTTCTGATTGTTGTAGTTTCGGCTAGTTAGTTTAGTCTGACGTTTTTCGTTTGAAAATATTCCGCAATTCAACGGAAAGCATCCAAGGCATAATGGCTTAGTTTTAACAGTCCGATTGATCAGTCAGTCGATGCGTACCTACATCAGCTTAAGTTGCCATCGGTGGTTGAGAGCATCGTGGTCTATTTGGGTCCAGTCCAATTAATAGTAACTTTGATCGTACATCATGTAGCGAAACTTTGCGAGAAGTATTTTTTACATCGCTCTAATAGTGCTTACAATTTTGCTTTTATTAATCATAAAAAGACTTAGATTAGAAGCTTAAACGCACTAAGCCCTTAAGGACTTACTCTTCCATTAAGGTTTTTCTATACATCATGTAATCTGACCCAGTTACCTTGTCTTTAGTAAAAAAAATTATGGTCGCTAGCAGTTCATAAAATTTGGGAGGCATTATATCCCAATGTACCAAGTTCTACATGGCTCAAAATCGTTCGCAATGGCGCCAGTGCATTTATTCTTTGTGTTCTCTCAAATCCTAATCTTCTGGGTTCTTCAACACCTCTAGCTTTTACTTTCTAAACTTTTTTCATTGAATCATACTTCGTGAATAATATCTTCTAATTCTAACGTCTACGATTACTTCTAATACCTTTACTACCTCTTCTACTATTGGATTTGAATTGACAATTATATCTCTGTGCTGATGTGTTATGGCGACATGAACTGATGTACTTACGTACGAAGTTCTACGTTGCAACTGACTGACTGACTGACTGAAGTTCTACATTGTAACTGACTGACTAAAATTCTTTCCATGAAAAGTAATCCTAGCCGTGTACAAAAACATAGAAAACCAATTTTGACTGATTAGTTTTAGAATCTGTAATTTGAATGACCTACTGTCAACACATTATTTGTCTTTGGCCACATTGTCCTTATCACGGTTAATGTTTGTTACTTTTAATTTTAGTCACTTGTCAATCCCTTAAATAGTATTGAAAATTGTTCAAAATGCACCAGTTAATTTTGTTATATTTCTTTTTTGTTTTCTTAAACTATCCAGACTTCGCAGGACGATGATCGTTTGTACAATTCTCATATAGTCATTGATTCAAGTGGTCAAATAGCAGGCGTTTATCATAAAGTCCATTTATTCGATGCTAATTTAAGTACACAGGAAACTACATCCGAGGTAGGAGTTAATCTCACCCATCTTTTTATTTAATTAATTCAATTTTCTTATCCATTGTTCTTTTGTTGATGCGCTGTAAATCAGCAGTTTAGAAATAATTCATTTTCAGTCATTGATTATTGGGCTACTCAAATCCTGGTATTTTTGTTTATATAGCAAGATTGATATATACAGGTATTGCTATCGTACTGTCGTACAATAATTGGTGTTGCATTATCGTTTGATAGTTTACAGTACTTAGTCGTGGTCAGGTTTAGCGGCGTAAAATTACACTATTGATTTTCCTTTTGGTGTTTAACTAAGCCATTGATGATAATCAGTAAATTTTGATTGTTAACCCAATTATTATAAGATGCATTCTAATTTCCTTCATAAAGTATCTGCGTGTTATTTGGCTTAAATATTTAATCTGTCCAGTAATAGGAAAAACCTTATTTATATCTGAGATCATTCAGCGACTAATTATATTTTTCATCTGTAGAGGTTTTTATTAGAAAACGCTCTGCCCACCAAGTATGGTTTAATTTTTGAATGTTAGAAAATAGATATTATATCATATTCAATTTAGTATCATTTATCTGCTAGTCACAGTTCATTGCTATTTTACTCTAATACTTCTTCACTTAACAGACTGTAAATTCAGCATCATTTCATGTATTTTCTGTGTAACATTGTTCATCGATTATTTACAATTAAACCTATTAACTAATTGAAAAATTCGATTATTTTTCTAGTCAGCATCTAGACAATCATCATTCTTTGAATCGAAAGTGATACGCGCTGGTCCAGAGGCTCCCATTACAATCCAAAACAGTCCTGTTGGGAATTTAGGACTAGCTATCGTATGTGTGATATAGTAATTATTTTATCTATCACCGATACTTCTTTAATGATTTTATGTTAAATTTGTTTTAAAAATAAGATAGTAACAAGACATTCATCTTGTTCATAGTACTGTAAGATGGCATCAGTTAGTCAGTCAGTTACAACGTAGAACTTCTTACATACGTACATCAATTTAAGTTGTCATACCACATTGGCACAGAGACGCAGTTGTCAATTCAAATATCATAGTAGTACAGGTAATAGACGTATTAGCAATAATCGGAAAGATTCGGGTTCGGGGATATTATTCAAGAAGTGTAATCTAGTGAAATAAACTTTCAAAGAGAAAGATAAAGGTGATGAGAAATTCGGAAGATTAGGATTTGAGAGAACACACAGCACTGATGCACCTGCGTCGTTGCAAACGGTTTTGAGCCATGTCATTCAGGGTCTCTAACCATCGATTGCTATCATCTCGCTGGCCCTAACCTGGTAGTCTACATTTACCAACATGACTGATTTCACTTGTCAGTGACTTCATGGATTTGTACCATGTTTTGATCTGGCCATCCCTAGCTTTCTTCCAACTTATTCCTACATCGCTAAACATAGTTTGAGGCAGTCGATGGTGATGAAGTTTCACTACTTCATCTGTTGATCTGCCATTCTTACCTAGTATCCGTTTCCTAACCACAGCATTGCTTACTCGGTTGTCCCCATGATACACGAGCAATGCTTCGGAGACACCTATGATCGAAAACCAGCAACCGACGAATATCTTCTACTATTACTGGCCATGTTTCACAGCCATAAAGTAGGACGGAGAGAACTACTGTGCAGTAGACTCATCCTTTGGTTAGTAGACGGATATCCCACCTATGCCATAAGTGACGCACGTTGGCAAAAGCCAATCAAGCCTTGTTTCCGTTCTGAGATTTCGTCAGTCACCACGCCATCAGCACTGATGAGACTACCGAGATAAGTGAAGCAGTCGATACGTTGAACTGCTTCACTTACTATCATTAAGATAGTATACGTCAATAACGCCTATTCACTTGTAACTCCTGAATAAAAAGAGTGTCTAAATGTACAATACTTTTAGTTATTCATTTGATGCAAATCATTTGTAGTTTACAAGAAATATTTAGTTGGTTTACTAATCTCAAGCTATTTCATAGCTAGGATTAACGATTACATATAGAGCCAGTGGGATAGAATAAAGTGTGTGTGTGTGTGTGTGTGTAGGTTAATATGCTTGAATAAGTCTATGAAGTAATTTGTCCAATGAATATAAACTAATGTGACATATGTGTATTATATTCTGGTACTAAATATTAATAAAACTTGTACTTTGGTTGAACTTTCGACCATCGACACCACCAACCAGCCTGTTGAATCTCAGACAATTTATATGGTAGTAGAGTTAAATGCTTCGGTTTATATGCACTGCATAGTTTCCATTTGTACTTCCATGTAAAATGTTATGGATGATTCTCCAAGTAGTCGTAGATACACGCATTATTATAATTATTATAATTTCCTTGTATGTCTGTTGGCTATTATAGTTGTTGATCTGTTTTTCACTAAGAATATTTTACACTATGCGTCTAACTTTTACCGATTGTACTTTACTTACTTACTTACGTACGCCTGTTACCCCCAATGGAGCATAGGCCGCCCACCAGTTTTCTCCAACCAACTCTGTCTTGGGCTTCCCTCTCCAGTGCTGTCCAATGTTTGTTCATTCTTCTCATATCTTTCTCTATTTCTTGGCGTAATGTATTCTTTGGCCTTCCTCTTTTCCTTTTGCCTTGAGGGTTCCATGTGAGGGCTTGTCTCGTGACGCAGTTAAGTGCTTTTCGTAGTGTGTGTCCTATCCATTAACTCCACTGCTTCTTCCTGATTTTCTCCTCCACTGGAATCTGGTTTGTTCTCTCCTACAGTTGTTGCTGATGGTGTCTGGCCAATCAATACGAAGTATTTTGCGTAGGCAACTGTTCATAAATACTTGTATCTTGTGGATGATGGCTTTGGTAGTTCTCCAATTTTCCACTCCATACAGTAGAACTGTCTTGACATTTGTATTGAAAATCCTGATTTTGGTGTTGACTGATATTTGTTTGGAGTTCCAGATATTTTTCAATTGTAAAAATGCAGCCCTTGCTTTGCCGATCCGCGCTCTCACATCTGCATCGGATCCACCTTGATTGTCGATGATGCTGCCAAGATATGTAAAGGTGTTAACGTTCTCCAAGGCATCTCCATCAAGAATGACTTGGTTGGTGTATGTTGTGTTGCATTGGAGAATTTTGCCTTTTCCTTTATGTATGTTGAGACCTACTGCTGCAGAGGCTGCTGCTACACTGGTCGTCTTTTCTTGCATTTGTTGTTGCGTGTGCGATAGAAGAGCCAGGTCATCTGCAAAGTAGATAATAATAACTGGCATTTGGTTTGGCAGTTACTTTCAGAATTATGCATTAAGCCAAAACATCTGTTCTATGGGTTTAGCGGAGTATGATTCTGTAACGAGTGGAATTTCATTGTCAATGCGAATGTATGATTAAATAATCTATTAATAGTCCTCTGTTAGATTGGTGTATTTTTACTGTTCTTAGGGTTTTTTACTCTTGGTAATTATTTAACATTTATAAAAATTCTTTTATTCATGTCGTATAAATATCCTAATTATAAGGTATTAATCTCTTTCTAGTGTTATGATATGCGATTTCCTGAATTGGCATCTCATCTTCGATATGCTAAAAATGCTCATGTTCTAACTTATCCATCTGCTTATGCTACACGTACAGGAGAAGCCGGTCATTGGCATACATTGATTCGAGCTAGAGCTATTGAAAATCAATGTTATGTAGTTGCTGCAGCTCAGGTATCATCCTATTCATTTTTATGCCCTTTTTTGATGATAAATTGTCTCAACCAATTTGTATCTTGTTTTTTTCTTGGTCATTTATATACTTTTGTTAATTTTTATATCTATATTGGTTAGATTGTAGTTAGTCCACAAGTGTTGTTGAAGACAAAATGGACATTCATTGCATACATTTTAAGTAATTTTTTAAAGATTCCTCAGGGAAAGCAATGTTAGTTTGTCTTTCTGACATTTGTTTGCATATAAACTTGGTTGCCTCGATTAGTGGTGGTGGTGGTAGATTGTTGAATAAAGATACAACATTCAAAGAGATAATGTTTCTTGCTAATATATGTAACTTTCACTGTGGTAGCTAAACCTTAACACTGTGGATTGCTGGCTTATTTGTCTAGTAGTTAAAAGTTCACGCATCAGGTCGAAGGGGTGGCATCCGATTCCTGGATGTAGGATTGTGAATGGTTACTGCTGGGGAATCCCATGTTAGGGAGGAACAATCGTCCATTGCTTTCAAGTTTTCAGTAATGGTCCAGCTAAGATCATTTAGTGATTTCTTAATCTGCATATCCCTATCTCTCTAAATTTCATTTTAATGTACCACTGAGCGACATTAACAGCTAGGAACTAACTAACTGGTCAGTGAAACAGGAAGGCTGCAATTATATGATTAGTTAATATGTATATAAGTTGAGATGACTAAGAAGTGCTTTCTCATTGTATGTTCCACGACTTCTGCACCTCGCAGTATGCGCACTGCTGAGGAGTCCCATACCAGGAAGAAACAGCCGTCCAGTGCTTCCAGGTTTCTAATGGTGGTCTAACATTGATCGTTTCATGGTTTCAAAAATGTGTAACTTAACAATCTTCACAACCCCGTAATGCAGATCCTTTAATTGTCAAAGCAGATCTCATAGGGATTAATTGATATTCACCTATTAGAGATATTTGTTTTGAGATCTGTTTTACGAAGTAGTGTTACTAACTCTACTCCCAGCTTTCCTTTACCCGACCTTAAAAGCGACAATAGCTCCAGAGGAGCTTTAGGAGAAGTTAACTTGTCAAGTATCTAAAATGGGATCGAATGATCTTTGTCTATCCACTACTTACTATCAATAGAAAATATCTCAGATTATACAAGTGTAGTGCGCGCTACTTATAAGTAGCGTATGACGCGAGTAAAAACGTAATGTCTGGCAGCAGAAGATGGGGAAAGATCAAGAAAGGAGGAGCGGGAACACAATGGAATTTGTATGAAACGCATGAATAGTGAAATGTCAGACAATGGATTGATGATGTTTTGCAACAGGAACAGTCCAGTTCGATATGATGGATTGATATTTTGCAAATTAACGACTTACGATATGGTTTTCCTATTTTACCAATTAACTCTGTAATTTGGGATAAATACAATTCGTTTGCCCTCACATGTGTTCTCCTTCACTACACAAGGAGTAAGAGTAATGCCTATATTTTCTGTATCAATCATACTTACCTTACGTATGTATTTTTTGTTAAAATAATTTTCTTGTTTCCTAATGTGTACAGGAAGGTGAACATAACGAAAAACGATCTTCATATGGTCATAGTTTAGTTGTAGATCCTTGGGGTCAAATTATCGCTGAACAATTGAATCCTGGTCCTGGTTTATTAATCTGTGAAATTGGTCCATTTACCATGGCTGATGCAACAACATCTATCATTCCTAAAATTTATCATGTAAGGCAATCAATGCCAGTGGAATATCATAGACGATTAGATTTATTTCCAATGTCTGACAGTGGTCATCCTCGTCGTAAGTGTGTGTGTATACACATTCAAATCAATCTTTGATATTTTGTTTTATTCATTTTACTAAATAATCGAGTGTTCACAACTAAAAATAGCTATTCAATTCTATCAAAACTATTTTATTTTAAGAAGACACTCCTAGATTCAGTAAAATATCATCTAACTACACGGATTATAGCTTCACAGAATATGCATCTCATTGTTGAACTAAGATTGGCTAGCTGTTTGATTTTAACTGGGACCTCTCAATCAGTGGTGCTTTTAATCAGAACTGTTATTGAACAAACTGTCTTTTGTATCAGTCCATCTAATGTTGTTGTACTTAACTTTAATTTTTCTTGTTTTCTACTAAAAAAAACGGTTGGTTATCACCGTTCAACAAAACGCTAGTCAGTTTAATTGTTATGAATTTATTTACACATCAATAACTCAATTTCAGTCAGTCAGTCAGTCGCAACTTCGTACTTATGCACATAAGTTCATGTTGCCATACCACATTAGCACAGAGACGCAAATGTCAAATCAAATCCCATAGTGATAAAGATAGTAGAGGTATTAATGGTAATGAAGAAGACTAGGATTTGAAGATATTATTCGAGAAGTATAATTTAGTGAGATAAGGTTAGAAAGACAAAGGTAGAGGTGCTGACGAATTCAGAAGATAAGGATTTGAGAGAGTTCAAAGAATGGATGCACTTGCGCCATTGCAAACGATTTTGAGCCATTTCGTTCAAGGTCTCTAACCATTTGTGACTTTCGTCTCGCGGACCACAACCAGATAGTCTACATCTACCAACATGACTCAGTCCACTTGTCAATGATTTCATGGATTTGTGCCATGTTTTGGTTTAACCGCCCCTTTCTTCCAACCTATTCCTACACTACAAAACAAAGCTCGACGAGGCAGTTCGTGGTTGGGCATACGCAACACATGTCCCAACCACCTCAACTGATGAAGTGTCACTACTGCGTCTATTGATCTGCCATCCTTATCTAGTACTCGTTTCCTAACAACAGCATTGCTTACACGGTTGTCCCACGATATACGAGCAATGCTTTGGCGACATCGATAATCAAAGACTAGTAACCTACGAATATCTTCTATTCTTAACGGCCATGTTTCGCATCGATATAGTAGGACGGAGCGAACCGTTATCGAACAGATATCTCGCCTACGCCATAAATGGCGTAAATTGGCAAAAGCCAATCGAGCTTTCTGTATCCGAGCTGAGATTTCGTCAGTCACCAGGCTACCGGCACTGATGAGACTCCCCAATAACTCAATTTACTTTGAAACGTAAAATTATAATCACACTACACGACTATTTTCTATTCAAAAATATAGACTGAAATTGGTCTATTGAATATCAAGAATTGTTTTAATGCAACAAGATCACTGTTTAATGTCTGATATGACGATCTAATTCTAATTATTCTATAAACTAAAGTTTATTTTTTTCTTTTTAAATACCTTTGATTACGGTATTGAAATGTTCATATCTCATTGTTAGTCTGATGGTAGTCAAATCGAGATGAAAGGATTGTTTTTTTTCATTTTTGAAGTGTAGCAGTTCCATAAAACATGTGATACGAAATAACATCTACCTTGGCTACTACTACCCATAAACCTTTAAATATCGATCTTTGGTTTCAGTCAACCAATCAGTCAGTCACTCAACAACAACATAGAACTTCGTACGTATGTACATTAGTTCAAGTTGATATACCATATTATAAGCTCCAATATGTAGTTTGGAGTGGGGTTTCAAGAGACCAGGAATAGCTTTTCGTGAGTTCAAAGCGTTTGTTTCAGCAGCGCGAGGTGACGAACAATCGTAAGAAGGGTTAGTAGTGGAGATAAGTGAGTATTAGGAGGTGTAGAAACGATTTGATTCTGACCTATTTGGTCTCGTATGTTTTTATGGGTATGAGGGCAGATGTTACTTCCCGGCTGCCTACACCGTGTAAGGGTTCTGGTTGTCAGAAGTGGGCATCGGCCTCGTGACTTTCGAAGGAACTTGACTTTCATCATGAGACGTCCTAACTCTCAGAGCCGGCCTTAGGACCGGCAGTAGCCCCGAAAGGTCTGCAGGTGGAGTTCTTTGGTTTCAGGGAAAGTTTTCGTTTATTACTGTAAAGTATCTCGACTGATAGGCTACATTATTGTTGTTGTGATGTTGATGTGATGAATTGACTGTCAAATAAATCGAAGTGGGTACAAACAGACCACATGCCTATCACAAGAACTCATGGAATGCAAGAGATGTGAGTTGACTTAAGATTACTTCAGTATTTTATATCACCAATATAATTGATCCTCAATGACCGTAAGCTACGTAAGGCGGCGAGATCAACTAATTACACATAGATATTAATTGTACATTTGTAAAATAAGTCAGATTATACAATAAACGAGCAATAAATATAAATCGGAATCAAATTATTGCATATGAGTTTATTATAAACCAACGATATTAAACACTATGTTTACTATTTTTCAATTTTATTTGTAAAACTAGCTATACAGTCGGCAGATTTCAACTTTGGTCCTCATCTAATCAAATCGGATTGTGTATTTTATCAATCTAAGTTAAGTTTTGCATTTGTAAATATTAGTCCATTGGTACCAGGACGTATCCTTTTCTGCTTTATTATTCTTTTTGCATTTCGAGCGACTAATAAATAATTACACTATTTGAAACCATGAATTGATCAATGTTAGACTGCCATTAGAAACCTGGAAGCACTGAAAGACGGCCGTTTCGTCCTGTTATGGGACTCATCAGTGGCAGTGAGCATCCACGACTCCTGCACTTCGCAGGACCCGAACCCAGAACCTTCGGTATTGTGCGCGAACGCCTAACCTATGGACCACTGAGCTCGGTATCTAACGGTGTTCCCATACCAGGACTAGACGGCCGTCCAGTGCTTCTTCCAGGTTTCTAATCATGGTCTAACATTGATCAATTCATGGTTTCAAAATGTGTAACTTAACAATCTTCACAACCCCCGTAATATAATAAATAATTCTCAAGAACTAGAGGAGTCTCTTTAAAACATACAGACACTTTCGAATGTATGTATTTTCAAGTCAGCATGAGATATAATTTTCTAGTGTTTTCGTCAAAAAGTTGTCCTACTATATCAGATGTCAATTGAAAAAACACAACGATCATTGATTTGAACAAAACTAATTTCGTACACTCATTCATTGCACATTGACAATGTGAAACGGACAAAAAGTTTACTCTTTTGGTTATATGTAGCAGTATTAGTGGGCCGGGAAAGACAGATGGAAGAGAGATAATGGTGATATATAAGTAACATTAGACCGTGTTGTTACAATTCATCAAGGAAATCATCAATGTGGTATTAAATATTCAACTGTCAGTGAGATTTTGAAAAAAAGCATAACCGTTAATGATCCATCGTCAATTCAGAAAATAGACATATGAATTCGGTTATGAAACGTGGCCGTTAAAAAATGCGGGATACTCTTAGGTAGGTGTTATTTGATTCCTTGGATGCCTTCGAAACATACTGGTCGTATATGTTGAGACCATCGAGTAAGAAATGTTAAGGTTTACTTATAGTCATGCTTAGTACAATGGACGTATTGATTGATGGAGTGTTTCATCTTACTAGTTTTCTTAATGAAATCTAGTTACAATTGTTCAACTTTAAGTATATATATATCGAGTACTTTTTCAAATTATTAATAATTAGAGCTTTTGCGCATGAATGTTGTGTGTCTTGAGACTACAAACCACCAGGTCAGCAATCAAAGTCCTAACTTATCTGAAAAAATTGATATATTTGCGCCACATATTTCTAACAATCTGGTCACACACACACATACTTTTCAAGGCGTTTCATGTTAATTAAGATTAATTAATGAAAGGTCAATTAAATAAAAGTTCAAATAGTAGACATAAGGTGATCATCAATGTAAATGAAGGAGAGAGAAAATCAACGTAATATAGAAAACATAAGAAAGGGTAGGAAATTGTCACACCCTAGCCCATGAAATGGTTTGAAGATTACTAGGGTAAATTCAAGGTTATAACAAATTGTTTTTTTGTACACATAATAAGGGGACTTCTAATTTTCGAATAGTCAAGGCTTCCATAAACCTCAAAATTTGTCCTTTAACGTTTCCATACAATATTTTGAAGGCTGTCTTGATGTCAGTCAATCTTAATTGTGCCCTGTCTCAATTATGTGTTTTGCGATGGATGAACATGGTTTTCTATTTCCAACGCTAATCGGCTCATCTGACGTTAACTGATTTTGAAGCCACTTAGGTACATGTTCCGTAACCCTTGATTGCAAAGTCCGATTACTCCTCCCTACTATGTATGCGTGTCCACACAAACATGTAAATTGATAAATGCAATGGGATGTGATGTAATCATTCGAGCAACGTTTAGGTATATGTGAAATCATGGACTTGGTCTTTTCAATGATAATCAGTTTAGCAGCGTTGTATGTTTTCTCTATGGCTGCTTTTAGTCTCTGTCTTATTATTAGACCATTTGCTTCACCTCTAAATGGTAAAGTGATATAAACCTTTTTCTTTTCAGCAGAATCAAACACTTGCTTTTGTCTTAACCGATCTCTACACCTATTGATAAACTTTAGCGGATAGCCATTTGAAATCAATGCTTCAGTTAAGAATTTTGCATCGTCGTCAAATGTATCCGTGGTGCAAATCCTTTGTGCCCTATTGAAGAGGCATTTTACTAAACCTCGCTTGTGTTGCAGTGGACAAAAACTGTTGAAATTTAGGTACTGTCCAGTCCACGTCGGCTTTCTATAAACAGACCGCTTTATAGTTCCATTATCTCTTCGGCTCAACAATATGTCTAAGAAAGGCAACCGATTATTATTTTCTGGTTCATGAGTTAATACAATATCATTCTGAAGACTATTGAAGTTTTCCAGTAACTGGGAGACGTTAAGTTCTTTATCACATATAATTAAGATATCGTCCATATATCTCCTATAGAGAGTAAGCTTATTAATGTGCTCATTCCACAAATTTTCAGCATATGCCATGTAAACATCGGCTAAGAGAGGTCCCAAAGGACTACCCATAGCAACGCCATCAACTTGCTGGAAATGTTCATCATCAAACGTGAGATGAACTTTCTTAGTACATAATAAAATTAATTCTCTTAGTAGACTTGACTGAATGGGAAAAAGGGGGAAATTACTTAATATATAGTCACAAAGAAAGTTAACAGTTTTCATTAGGGGAACATTGGTAAAAAGGGAGTTTACAACAAAAGAATGCATAGTCTTTTCTTTAATATTAATGTCATCAAGAACACCAATTAGTTCAATTGTATCTTTCAGGGAAAACTTACACAATTTATTGGTTAGCTAAATTACTCAGCCCGATTCGTAACTGTTAACTTTCTTTGTGACTATATATTAAGTAATTTCCCCCTTTTTCCCATTCAGTCAAGTCTACTAAGAGAATTAATTTTATTATGTACTAAGAAAGTTCATCTCACGTTTGATGATGAACATTTCCAGCAAGTTGATGGCGTTGCTATGGGTAGTCCTTTGAGACCTCTCTTAGCCGATGTTTACATGGCATATGCTGAAAATTTGTGGAATGAGCACATTAATAAGCTTACTCTCTATAGGAGATATATGGACGATATCTTAATTATATGTGATAAAGAACTTAACGTCTCCCAGTTACTGGAAAACTTCAATAGTCTTCAGAATGATATTGTATTAACTCATGAACCAGAAAATAATAATCGGTTGCCTTTCTTAGACATATTGTTGAGCCGAAGAGATAATGGAACTATAAAGCGGTCTGTTTATAGAAAGCCGACGTGGACTGGACAGTACCTAAATTTCAACAGTTTTTGTCCACTGCAACACAAGCGAGGTTTAGTAAAATGCCTCTTCAATAGGGCACAAAGGATTTGCACCACGGATACATTTGACGACGATGCAAAATTCTTAACTGAAGCATTGATTTCAAATGGCTATCCGCTAAAGTTTATCAATAGGTGTAGAGATCGGTTAAGACAAAAGCAAGTGTTTGATTCTGCTGAAAAGAAAAAGGTTTATATCACTTTACCATTTAGAGGTGAAGCAAATGGTCTAATAATAAGACAGAGACTAAAAGCAGCCATAGAGAAAACATACAACGCTGCTAAACTGATTATCATTGAAAAGACCAAGTCCATGATTTCACATATACCTAAACGTTGCTCGAATGATTACATCACATCCCATTGCATTTATCAATTTACATGTTTGTGTGGACACGCATACATAGTAGGGAGGAGTAATCGGACTTTGCAATCAACGGTTACGGAACATGTACCTAAGTGGCTTCAAAATCAGTTAACGTAAGATGAGCCGATTAGCGTTGGAAATAGAAAACCATGTTCATCCATCGCAAAACACATAATTGAGACAGGGCACAATTAAGATTGACTGACATCAAGACAGCCTTCAAAACATTGTATGGAAATGTTAAAGGACAAATTTTGAGGTTTATGGAAGCCTTGACTATTCGAAAATTAAAAGTCTCCTTATTATGTGTACAAAAAAACAATTTGTTATAACCTTGAATTTACCCTAGTAATCTTCAAGCCATTTCATGGCCTAGGGTGTGACAATTCAATTTCCTACCCTTTCTTATGTTTTCTATATTACGTTGATTTTCTCTCTCCTTCATTCACAATGACGATCACCTTATGTCTACTATTTGAACTTTTATTTAATTGACCTTTCATTAAATAATCTTAATTAACATGAAACGCCTTGTAAAGTATGTGTGTGTGTGTGTGTGACCAGATTGTTCGAAATGTGTATAGCGCAAACATATCCATTTTTTCAGAAATGTTACGTCTTTTAGCTGTTCTCTCGAAATTTATAAAATGAACTAATTGTTGTAAATCAAAGTCCTAGCTTTTATGTTTTCTGAGTCTACTATATACTACATAGCTTTGTGTCCTTGTTTTGATCGAATGCACACCCGCCGATTACAGTCCACCCTCAGCCGATACAGTTAAGTTACTATAGATCCTTCGTTCGTATGCTTCTTCTTGTACCGTGCTTTGAGTCCGAAAATCAACAGTCGATTTCTTCCATATTTATATTTCAGACAAACGTTGTTTGTGTACACTCATAAAATTGTAGCCTTCCACATATTACTACTTTACCTGTAAACTGAGAAATAATGACAAATTTGTTCGAAATAAATTTAGTTTACTTGTCTTCTCGCGTTACCCTTTTATGAATACGAATAAATTATTTCGCGTTCTCACTTTGTTCTTGGTCAGGATCTGGGTTGTCTTCATGAACCTACAGTAACTATTTGTCATTCGGGTGAATCAATGTCAGCTCTTAAATCTTGTCAATTCGTCTATAAAATATAATACTCAAGATTAGGATCTTTGGTTCAGCTGTGGTGTTTGTTTCCCTTGGTATATAAAATCGTAACAGTAAAAAATTTAGCGTTCAGCATCGGTTTCACTTCGTTGCGACAAAATGTCTTCATTATAAATATATGTTTGCCCCTAATTATCAGTCGTTTTGGGATTTTACATGAAAACCTCAAAATTGTTTTCTTGATTCTGATTGGTTTGTCTCCATAGTGTACTTTTACCAAAGTCATTGTCACTGCAAGTGTATTATCACCGGTCAAAAATGCCTATTTTCGTTTCATTAAAAAGTTTCAATGTAGATATACTTGTTTGTCCAATTGCTTGCGTGGAAAGATTTTGTCATTTGAATGGAGCACAAGTTGCTGATCTTTATATAACTGTAAGACAGATTGCTGAACGACTACCTGAGTGTTTTCCATCTTCAAGTCTAACAATATCGATACAAGATGGCAAAGATGCTGGTCAAAGTGTGCCAGTAAGTGTATTACTGATTAAAAAAATGTTATATTGTCAAAATTATTGCTCTCTATAAAACTGTTTAGCGATTGGAACAGTTGTCTTGCAACTACTAAAACCGCTCAATGTCATCCAGTTAAGTTAGTCAATTGATATCATTGGTGATGACCGTGGCGACAGTGACGAAAGTATTGACTGTCAATTGAATGAAATTGGTCAACTTTTTGTTAATCTGAAATATTACTGATCCCTTACTTCGTAAACTATGTTTTTACTGAATCTTTTCCTTTAGGTGTATCCTAGAGTATATGGTATTTTCTGTAACGTATCATCGGAGTCTAGTTATTCGCCATATTATAAAACCCACTAACCTTTAACACTTACTGATCGGATCTAAAAAAAGTAGCTACATTCCTTGAGATGTTATACTTTGCAGTGTCGTATTATTTTCTGTTCGTAAATTGGATGCACAAAGTCGGATGTACAACAAAAACTAACTTGACAAATCAATCAGGGGTGAATAGTTTTCGTTTAATCAACTAGCGAATTAAGAATCTGTTTCATCACAAATCATACATATAACTCTTGATTTATGACTCATCAATCATTTGGTTACTTCATCAATTACCTTTCAACTAAGATCACTGACAAATATATAGCGAGTAAACTGATTCACTCTTTGCATAACTTCTTCTTCTAAACTGTTAGGATTGACACAAAGTGTATATACTGATTAATCTGAATAAAATAATCTTGTTACGATGCTTTGATTTAATCGTTATGATATTTAGCATTATTTCTAGGACGTTCTAGAATTCCAAGGTCATATTAACCTGAAAATACACGGTTTTCCATGTAGGCTTAACTGTTCATTTGAACGAGATCATTTTTAGGTATCTATCACTCTCTAATCTTATAATTTAATAAGTCTAACTGGTGTTTAAACTGCATCTCTTTCTAAGATATCTGTTTCGTGAATACAACAGCATCCAATGAACTAGCACTCAATGATTTAAAGTTATTCAGCTTTTAATCATTAAAAAATCATAGTGATATTAAACCTTTCGAAATCGTTTATGGTCTTCACATGATAAGTTTTATTATGTAACATAGTACAAAAATGTATTTCCATCTGTTTAATGACTATTATTATCGATTAATATGCTAAGTTGATTCATTGTTTTGTTATAATAATAATAATAATAATAATAATAATAATAATAATAATAATAATAATAATAATAATGTTTATTGCTATTAGCATGTCCATGTTCATGTATTACCGAGAAAACCAAATGATTTCCCAGAAAATGATGATATTTATAAAGCAGTAAGTATTCTATACTTACTATTCAATAAAATTATACTCATTGATTACTGAAATTTAGAGTATTGATTAGTAAATTGATGATTATCTGTTGAAGTTACTTTACGCCTATTACTCTTAATGGGAGCATAGATCACCGATCAGAATTCTACAGCGTACTGTGTCATGGATCTTTGTTTCCAGTTGTTCCCAATTGTTATTCATTCTTTTTACATCTTCCTGAAATTTTTCGTGTAGTATGTCATTTGGTCTTTGCCAGTCACAGTAGAAGATATTCGTAGGTTACTGGTTTTCGATCATAGGTGTCTTCGAAGTATTGCTGGTATATCCTGGGACACCTGAGTGAGCAATGCTGTTATTAGGAAACGGGTGCTAGGTAAGAATGGCAGATCAATAGATAAAGTTCTGAAACTTCACCAGTTGAGGTGGTTAGAACATGTGTTGCGTATGCCCAACCACCGACTGCCTCGTCGAGCTTTGTTTTGTAGTGTAGGAATAGGTTGGAAGAAAGTTAGGGACGGCCAAACCAAAACATGGCAGAAATCCATGAAGTCATTAACGAGTGTCAACAGTTGTCGACTATGTGGTTGGTATCCGTGATCGGGTCCTGCTCATAAAAACATTACACATAATGCGTATTTATACATTTAGGTTGAATAGGTAACATCATCTAAGTCTGTGATTATTGGCAGTTAAGACGATCAGTAAGAAACAACATTTGAAGTGACAGTGACAGTCAGGACGACCAATAAGAAACAACATTGGAGTAGGTGACATTGATATCTAGGACGATCATAAAATTGCATCATGGGGTTGTGAAGATTGTTCACTTACACATTTTTGAAACCATGAATCGATCAATGTTAGACCACCATTAGAAACCTGGAAGCACTGGACGGCCGTTTCGTCCTGGTATGGGAACACCGTAAGATACTGGGCTCAGTGGTCCGGTGGTTAGGCCTTTGCGAGGTGCAGGAGTCGTGGATGCGTACTGCTGATGAGTCCCATACCAGGACAAAACGGCCGTCCAGTGCTTCCAGGTTTCTAATGGTGGTCTAACAATGATTGATTGATGATTTCAAATGTATATATGTATATGTTTCATCTTGTGTATGCTTTCTTATTCTTTTTCTTATTCTCATTATAGTTACAAAATCATGATAAAGTGAAACATCGCATCTATCGATCACATGATGTGATGAGTCAAGAAGCAAAACAACTTCGACAATTGTATTATATATAATTCATCAACATCATAATGAATTGGAACTTGAATTGCCATTGCCCCAAAATGGATTCTTCGTCTTCTTCTACCTACTTCTTCTCCTTCTTACTATCATACCCACCATGTATACTAACCATACTTAGATTCATTGTTATTGTTGTC